CCCCAAAACCCCAAAACCCCAAAACCCCTAACAATAAAATATCAAATGAAACTATTTTATATAATAAAAAGAGCAATAGCATGCTCAAGTGCAAGGTTTGGAACTGTACTAGCAAGCCACAGTATTATTGCGGGACACATGACATCTTACTCTGAAGTAAGTGCTACATGAACAGGCATTATCAATGAGACTCGATTGAAGTCTGAGGAGCTCCCCAGCTCAAAGACAGGCTCACCCTCCTTCATGACTTTTTTGAAGGGCTCACTAGAAAGGCTAAAATTTATGACTTGTATGCATCAATCCAAGGACTAGAGGAAGCTTTAGACAATATTTCCGAAGTTATCAAAGATTTTAAGCTTGAGGTCGAAATGTGTCTCAAACTCAAAAACTCAGAAGAATTTTCAAAATTTGTGTACATCTCAAATAAGATACTATCAGATATTTTCGATGGAACACTATTCGTACAGAAAAGGGACTTCAACCCAATCCTGAAAATGCTGTTTGATAGCCAGGTGCTTGACACTCAGGAAGGGTACATGGATCCTCCTCCATTAGACTTTGATAGGATCTACTCCCACGAAACGCTTAAAATTGTAAGAGATCTTGTTATAAGAAAGAGAATAACTATGGAGAAGAAGAGAGATGAAGAGCTTGCAGAAGCACGGGATCTCTCATCAAAAAGGACCCAACAACAGTTAGGAGAAATGTAGAGTGAATTAAAAATATTTTAGAAATTCCTTCTGAATTACAGTAAATTTTTATGCTTGGAAACTAACTGCTTAACTTACTCCTCTGAAGACATCTTGTGTTCGTTTCATGCTGAATGCACTTCTACATCTGTTCTGATAGCTCTGCCTACCTTAAGTCATTCGAAGATCACCTGTAAAGATCTTTTAATTTTTGTTCTTCTAGTCTCCTGCTTTTCTGTATTATCATATCTATCTTTAATGATTAATGCTTTTAGCTTACCACTCAAGCCTACTCAGCTAATATTTTCTTTCCCCTGTTCTTTGTGCTTCTTCCGGTCTCTGAGATTAACTCAGGATTTCCTCTGATGAAGTTTCAAGGCTCTTTTGTTTCAAAATTCTATAATTTTTGCATAACCAATTGGTAGTTTTAGCCAATTCAGACAGTATTTCTTAACCAATTTCTAGGTATCAGCAAAAAATCAATTCTTTAGAGGAGCTTTGAATGAAATCTGACGAAGCCCAGAAAAAAGCTGACTTAGCTGTTGATGGGCTCAAGAGTCTTCTTGAGCAGAGTCAAGAAAGAGTGCAACAACAGAAGGAACAAATCAGCAATCTCGAAGAAGAAATAGATTCCATCAAGGCTGATAATAGTTATTGGAAGTTACTCTATGATAAAATGATGGAAATGACTATTAAGAAAGATCAGCCAATTATTAAACCCGCCTCTGAAGAATCGAAATCCTCTGAGCAGACATCCCCTTCTGAAGTCTCATGGCTAACATTAGTGGGCGATTTAGTCGGTAAGACCTCTCTTTTATCAAAAATGTGTGACTCTGACTTCCAAGGGCCTCCTGAGCCTACTACTTTCATCGACCGTTTCCAGTTCGAGAAAGAGTTCCAGGCCAAAACTGTATGTCTTAACAGCTTCGATATTTCCTGCCAAGAGAAATTTATCAAGACTGCTTTAAACTACTTAAATGCTATACAGTGTATCTTCTTGCTGTATGACATTACTAGTGCAGAGTCTCTCCGAAGGTGTCAGTACTGGATGGATGTAATCAAAGAAAAAGAGATCACAGGCAAGATAATCTACCTGATTGGCAACAAGACTGACCTGGGAAGTCAGCGAGAAATCAGTGCAGAGAAGGCTAACGAGTTCAAATTTGTTAACGACATCGACTTCTACTTTGAAGTCTCTGCTAAAACTGGAGAAGGAGTCAACTCCCTCATCCAGCATGTCTGAAAGTTCCTATTCACCCAACGTTACACAAGCGACGAAGAGACCGCTCCTTTGGTCACTGAGAACAAAGGCTGGTTTGGAGGAATGTTCAGAGCCTAGATCTCCCTTCTGGTCAACACTCAAGCTTAATATCTGCATAAATTCTTGCCTTAAAGGGGTTTTGGGGTTTTGGGGTTTTGGGG